CAGTGTTGGCCACAGATGGTGGGCATCATTGGGTATACCATGGGGGGGGCGCGTGTGTGTGAGCATCAGCAGCAGAGACAGCATGCATGGATAGACATGGCAGTTTCCTCGTGACGGCCCTGTCCTAGGGCACTACCCTGGCATGGCTTCTGCTCCATGGCAGTCTGTTCTCCTAAAGCACAAGTATTAATGCTGTCATTGATGAAATATTTTTACTATAAAATCCACTTGTATTTCGAGTGACTCTTAGAGCAACAAGGCAAGGAGCTCCTTGTTCCTTCCTTTGTCTTGGGTTCTACCTGTGCCGTGGACAGAATGGCACACAGACCAGACTGGCATCCTCGCTTGCCATTGAGTTTTGAAGAGACATCGGAAGGCATCTATCACTGTGGAAAACACCAAGAAAAAAAAAAGGCAGAGATTCTTCTACTCAGATTCAGATGCTGAACCCACATACAGCTGCAAAAGTCTTCAGGGCTGGTTCAGGAAACAGTGGGTGTTGCTTCTTGGTGTGTATCTCTGTCCATACCCCATCAGGTTGGCTCCCTGGACTCTAGTTGGCTATGTAGCGACTTAACACATGGGCTAACATGGCACTGGGTTGGTTGAAGAATGGAGAGACAAAGCCACATTCTCAGCCTTCCCCTGACCCTTAACTGCAGTGTTGCAGTCCCCTAAAGCAGTGTTGTGGAAAGCTGCAGCACTGCATTTTTTTAAATGTTTGACTAGTTCTTTTGCATATAAGAAAATAGAACCAGAGCAGCAAGGGTCTTGCCCAAAGACACACAGTGCCACTGGGTACCAAAACCAAAATTATTACCATCAAGAGATAACTGAGTCTCTGCCTCTAGAAAGTTCTCATGGAACTGAAAGGGAGACTCTATAGCCCTATGGAAGGATAAATGGGAGGGATGAATGCCTTGCCTCAGTCCCTTCCCGAGTTTTTCAAGTTTTTCAAGTGAGGAAGCGAATTGAATAATCTCTAAGCTTCCTTCTAGGTCTCAGGTGCCTCTAGAAGGAACCTTAGAGACTATTAGCTATAATTATTATATAAACAGGGTTCTGTTCCTTCTGCCTAGGAGCTAAATTCCCATTATGTGAAAGCACTTTCTTGGGGTGAGGCTGCTCCTTAAGGACTTTGGGTTCCAGCCTCAGCTCTTCTGTCTTTGGTCTGCACACCTTATTATTATTTTTAAAAATATTCATTATATCCTCCTTCGTTTTCGTACAACTGGTCTCCCCGTGACATCACCACCTCCCATCCCCCGTCACGTGGTGCCCTTCCCACCCCTGTCCTGCTCCTTCTCCCTCCTCCCCCTGCAGAATGTCTCTGATCTATAGTGGCCTGCTGATTTTGATGTTTACTTTATTAGAGATCCTTTTGTCATTCCGCCCTCCCCTGACAGCTGAACCCGCACTGAGTCCCTCTGTTGTCTGATCACCAAGAGCTCTACTTCATGCCCCACCAGTGCCTTTGATTCAGCAAGTCCGAACTGATGCCTCCCTGTCTTCCTCTTCCTTGCGTTCCTGCGGCAGTGAGAGCCCTCGCCACCCAGAGTCACCCAGATTAGACGCCTCGGGGAGGGGAGCAGTGCTCCCCTTGCTGCCTCTTCCCCCGGCCCCTGCTTGCAACCAGAAATGAAATCACATTTGATATCGCTCCAATCCACCTCCTTCTCACCAATCCCACGGTCTCTACCTCTGCTCAAACTTCCATGATCGCCATGTGGGTCATTCCCCAACCGTCCACCCACGGCCACCCCCAAGCTGCACACCAGAGCCAGGCTGTCCTGACCTCTCACCCTGTCACCCCAGTATCCTCAGTTTGAAACTCAGGCATCCAGGAGGGGCCACACGGCCCTCCCCTTCAGCCTCCACTCCAGCCACATTAACGTTTGCATTTCCTGAAGCACCTTAGCTCCCACTCCTCTGCAAAGCCTTACCCCACCACACACCCCCCTTCACCTGGACGACTGTTTATCCTGCCTGCGTCATCTCCAAGATCCTCATCTTGGACCGGTCCATCCACAGCAAATTGTGGAACACGTACCCCTTGTGCTGGAATCACCCTCATGTGTCCCCCGCTGTCCCCACAGACCAGTTACCACCCGAACGAGTTCCAGTTTCAGAGCCCTTTCCCTCAAGCATCCGGCTCGCAGACATGAGTGACTCACTATTTTGGAATAGTCTCTACTGGGAACATTGACAGAGGTCAAAGGTCAACAAGAGAGCTCCCAAACCCCCCCCCCCCACCGCCTCCATCTCATAGAGCGATGTGCCAGATCCAGGATGCCCTGGGCCTGCCTGGCAGCAGAGATGCCCTGCACTCCTTCTCCCCTTCGGTTTTCTTTTCAGAGGGCAAACAAGGGAAAGTGCCTTGTGTGTGAGGGAATAAAGAGGCAGCGTTTTGCTGGGCAATCCCGGAGTTGGCTGGCAATGCCAGCATCCAAGCACACAGCCTTGGCGTCTTGAGCCACTGAGCCTCTCCCTGTCCTGGGCATGAGATGCCCAAGCTTGGGTGCTGCCCCGTCCTGAAACCTGTGGTCTGGATAAGCCAGGGGGATCGCCATGGTCATGTTCTGATCCTTCCCTGCTGTAATACACTGATAATGACTGACTGGAGAGAGGAGAGGCGGTGGGGGCAGGCAGACGGACTGGTGGACAGACAGAAGTGTAACAGCACTGGCGCATGTGTGAGTTCACAGAGGGCCTTTTGCCTCGTGGGCACCCAAGGGCATTTGTCTCCTTTCCTTGTCTTCTTTCTCATCCCAGCTCCAGTTCTGAGAATTTCCATGGAGGACTTTAATGTTCAGAGGAGGTAACCCTGATGGCTAAATATGACAGCCTTGGCCGTCATGGGTTGGGGGTTGGTTGAGTGACTGTTGGGCGAACATCCCCCCCCAACACACACACACACACACACGTGCACATACACACACTGACACACCGTCCACAAGCTTCCTCGGGTCACACTGTGTCCTTTTGTCACATCCTTTCCCTCAACACTGTTCTGGTATATATTGTAACACAATATCCACAAATTTAAAAGACCCAGGGCTCCTACACAGTGATCTGCTCTTGGGTCAAGGCGCCAGGCAGCCATGGTCTCTAGACCAACTTAGGATGCCAGGTAGGAGGGAAGGCAGGAGAGGACACATCTGTTTCTGAAGTGCTGAGCTCACCCTCTCCATCCCCCTCCCCAGGTGACCACCTGGTCTGGTCCGTCATCAGCACATGGGCTACTGGCTCTTAAACTTCCAGGTGCCTTAGAAACACCTGGAAAAGTGCACCTCCCTGGTAGCCTAGGATTTAGTCTCAGTGCTACCACCACTATGGCCTGAGTTCCATCCCCGGCCAGGGAGGGATCCACATGGCACAACCAACCTTTCCTGTGTCGCCCTCTGTTCCCCTTAGCAGTGTATTTCAGTAGATCCACTTGATCTGCTCCCCACTCTCTCTGGTGACTCCTCCAGCCCCACACCCAAGTTCTTCTATGAAAGAGAAAAGAAAAGCGATACTTGGAAATGGCCTATAATGCACATTTCCAGTTCCATAATCAGGAGATTACTTCAGTGGGTCCAGGCAGGGCCCAGAAGCCTACATTTTTGTACCTTGCACACTCAAGTTGCCTTGCCAGAGCTGGACGCGATACGGCCAAGCATGCTGTCAAGGGGCACAGGAGAGAGGATGGGAGCATCATGTGTGTCCAGCCTCTCACAGTGAAGTCACCCACCAGGCTTCCGGCGCCCCACGTCTCTGAGCACCACCCCCAGCAGGCTAGGAGAAGCAAGTGGGCCTTCAAGGGTTCTGTTCCTCTCTGTAATGTCAGTGGGACCAGGATTACCAGGGAGTCCTCCTGACCTAGTAGAGGCGAGATATCAGTCTGGGGGTCTGAGCTTCATGTCTCCTGGGGCCAGTGCAGGGCCTTCTCTGCTTGGAAAGCTTGGGCTGGATGCCATGTGGACTGGTGCCTTGTGGCTCCAGTGAGAGACGCATGAAAGGTCCTGCAGAGGCGAGCAGTGGAGCATGAAGGATCCAGGCAGCCTTTGCCCGGCGGGGGCCATTAAGGCTTTGCACGGGGGACAAGGTTGTGGGAGAAAGCAATTAGCGGCGAAGGAAGCCAGTGAATCAGCACAGAGTCGGTGCGCTCTAATTGAGCCAAGGAGTTTGTCCTGTTAAGTGTGGACTCCTGGGGACAGGAGCTGCATCCTTAAATGCAAAGCACTTCTTCAAGGTGGCAGAGGGAGGAAAAAGACTACCAGCTCCCTGAAGGAAAGACATGGGCCTTTTCCATTCACCATCCCACCCCAGCACCTGCCTCCAGCCCCCAAATCCTGATTGCTTTTTGTGCTGATCTGTTCTCTGTCTTTGGACAAAGAATTTTATTCTCTCAAGAAAGAGAGAGGTGTTTAATCTGGGGGCCAGTGTCTGTTAGCAGTTTGCCCTGTTGGGGCTATGGTCAGATCTTCAGTGTCTTGATATTTTTGCAGCCACATTGTCATCTTGGAGAACCCAGCTGGTTCGCTTGCCCAAGACCGTGTCTGTGATCATCAGGGTTTGGTTCCTCAACATAGTGCTGCCCCTTCCCTGTGGTTCTGTCTCACCCTTCTCCCCTGTCCTAGCATTGTTTTCCTTTAGCTCAAGACATTTTGAGTGCTCTTCTGAGAATATACAATGGATGTTCACCAACTCACTAAATAAAATGTTTCTCTTAAAATGTATAAATTTTCTACCACTCTAATATTTGTAGTGTTAAAGGAACATTTGAAAATGAAAATTAAAAAAAAAAAAACCTTTCATGCCCAGTGGATTGGAACACTAATGGCAACACAGAATAGAGTTGGCCATTTGGTTTGGGGACCCACATAATGTCCCCCTAGATCCTACCACAGAGAGGCATCGTTCTGCTCCACCTGCCAGACATATCTGCTGGCTCAGAACTTTCCAAATCCCCAATCTAATGACTCTTTTTTTCTCTCTCTCTGCATTTTGTTTTGTAGGAACGTGTGGAATATCTCTTTCTCATCATTTTTACTGTGGAAGCATTTTTAAAAGTAATAGCCTATGGACTTCTCTTTCACCCCAACGCTTACCTCCGCAACGGCTGGAACTTACTCGATTTTATAATTGTGGTTGTAGGGTACGTATAATTGCCTTTCTCTGTCCCCACTCCTGCCCCTCCCACCTCCCGTTTGGACCCCCTTTTCCTTCTGTGTTCTCTCTGTTTTTGATTTGCCACCACAGTGCCAGGCTTCAGGCAAGATGAGAGGAGATAGGGAAAATCAGTTTGAATTCAGACTTTCTCCAGAGAGAGGGGAACTCTCACCTGAGAATACCTCCTCTCCACTGCTCCCAAGTGCACATGCTGCTAACACACTTACACATGCATGCACACACGCACGCACATGTACATCAAGCTGCATCTGATTGCTTTTGGTGGAACCCAGGGTCTTCTGTGCAGCTGAGATGCCTCTGCCCCAGGTCTTTTATTCCAGATCCAACCTCATCAGGCCCTAAAGCTCCTCTGGCCAATGTCCCTGCCAGAGAAGATTTAGTGCAGCTTGCCTGGGACATGCGGGCCACAGTCATGGGGGAGGAGGGGTGGAACAGGAGCTACCAGAGGCCTCCCTCACTTCCTTTACTTCTGTGGGTTCTGGGACCCCAAGAAACTAGGCTGCTCAAGACAGGTGGGATAGAAGAACACAGGCAACTATGTAGGTCAAGGTGCTAAGTGACCAAGCCTGCAAACACACCTGCCCACGCCAGTATGAAGCCAAGCCCATCTATGCTTTAATAAAATATGTGACCTTAAATAAATTTAGATAGAATGATCCCCTTATCAGGGAAATTCATAACTTTCCACAAAGATCCTCCGTGAAATACTTGGCCCCAACAGGCCTACACGCCGTGTAAAATAGAATGCAGTGAGCTGCCTTTGATGACATTCCGACACTCGTCCGTTACGTAAAGTGAGGGCGCCTGTACCCGGGCGCCACAGTGAGGAGCTGGCTTGAGGTCACCGTTGCCACTTTGGGCCCAGAAGTGGCCAAGCAGTGGCCACCTGATATCTCCACTGTCTTGGAGTCCTGACAGGCTTCGTGATAAGGTCACTATGTACCTCCACCCTTACCCCTGGAGCCTGTTTTCAGGGAGACTTTTCCACTGTCCCCATAAGACCGAGGCTTGCGGCTTCCCCACAAAACCCACTGGTCCTTATCTCCTGGGAGTGTCTGCTCTTTCCGGCAGGAAATGACACAGGAGCAAATCAGGATCATTTAGAAGTTATTTCCTTGTCTCTGGCCATCTGGATGGCTTATTAGCGTGGTTTGGAGCTGTTTTAAGGGGGTTTCTTGGTTGTCTCTTTTTTTGGCCTGGTCAGTGAGTGACATGCTTTGGCCACATTAACATCAGGATGACGCGAGGAGCACAAAAATGATCGGGGTGCGTGCCAGGTATTAGATTCGGCGCCAGAGGACTCGAGCAGAGGACGCCGCTTGATGAGCGGCCAAACCCACAAAGGGGGGCTCAATAAATGCCTTGAATGAACCCAGTAAACCACAGCAAAGGCCCTAACCCCCTTAAATTCTTTCTGAACTCAGCATCTTTCCCAAGGCCTCGGTCTCCGGAGCCCTTCACACATACATATCAAGAGCCGCTGGAGGGGGACCCATGACTCTCGCACAGTAACGCCGAGCCTCGTGGGCACTCGACCTCTTGAGGCAGAGAAGCCGCAGCCCCTCGTGTAGATGGGGTGGCTTGGTGCTGCCTGTGTCGTAGGCCTGCCCCACTCAGGGCCTCGCTGCAGCGGGGGTGCTGGGGAGCAGAAGCACAGGGCAGCCTCAGCCGGGAGCCCTTGCTGCTCCTCCCCCATCCACAGGCTTTTCGGGGACTCAGCCTGGTCTTCAGTCTCATCACCCCGAGGTCTGGGCCCCCCTGGCTGCTCCTCCCCCATCCACAGGCTTTTCGGGGACTCAGCCTGGTCTTCAGTCTCATCACCCCGAGGTCTGGGCCCCCCTGGCTGCTCCTCCCCCATCCACAGGCTTTTCGGGGACTCAGCCTGGTCTCCAGTCTCATCACCCCGAGGTCTGGGCCCGGAGACTCAAGAAGACAGGAGACATCTGGATCAGACAGGCCTCCAGAAGCTGTCTCTGCTTAGCTGCTTCAGCCACAGATACGATGTCGCCTCTTGTTCAGCCTGTGGTCACTGTGCCCTCTGGACAGTCTCCCCTCTGATGTCATGTGTGGCTCTCCGTTCCAGAAGTGTGGGTGCTGGAGGCTTTCTCACTCTCTTCCTTCTCACTCAGAAAATGAACCCCGCTACCCCTCACTCCAGCAGCGGGTTTGGCTCAGCCTTGCCCTGCCCTTGTGTTATTACACAGCTACCCCTTTGCTTCCCTGGCGTCTCCTGGGGAGTGACAGTTGTTCTCCCTGGCCCCTCCTCTGCAGCTACTGGGGGGAAGGATTGTTCTGGGCTCCCACAAGCCAGGGGACTCTGCTTTGCCCTGGGGAAAGCCGGGTTCGCCTTCCTGCTGAGAGCTGCCCGTATGTCTTCTTGGTGGCAAGTGACAAAAGACATTCCCTGCCCCCACAAACCTGTCAGATTTCCTTTCTGAAGCAGAGGAATCTGGTGGGCAGTTGAATGAATCCGGAGAGGACTCCCATGGCCTCTGTGAGCTCCCTGCACATCCCACACCCAGGAGCTGAGAAACAGTCAGCGGGTCCCTGCCCCACAGAGCCTCCTCCAGCCACAGCGGTCTGCCGCGTCCTCATCTCCCTCCCAGTGTGGCAGCCCTGCCTTGCTGACCCGCTGAGCCCACTCAAGCCCCTCATCATCCTCTTTTAAAAACTCCGACATCCAGCTAAGTCATGGCAGACACGGCTCCTGCAGGACGCCCCCTCCACCCCCCGCCCCAAGCATCCATAGCTGGGTGTCCTTAGGGACAGGGTTGGCCCTGGTTTCACCTCAGAGGGGTCTGCTAGAGGAGAAACCAGCAACTCCTGCAAGCCCAGAAGACCCCCAGACCCAGCCCCAAAATTCCCCTTAAGAGTCTGTCTGTATTGGGTGTATTGGGTTTGGGCAGGAGTTGAAGGAGAAAAAAGTCATCTCATATCAGCTGCCTTCACTGAATACTATTCTGTGGACATCTTGTGCTCTCATAATGGAGTGCTTGCTTCCAGGAAATCTGAGGAACCAAATCTGGTTTGGATTTGGAATGTTGTTCTACAAACTCGAAGACTGGCCTCCATTTCTTATGGTTTCGGTGATCTTGACTTTGGCGGAAAGAACATTTCTCTGCGGAGAGGGAGCACATTCCTCCCTGCAACCCCCCAGCCTGGCACCCTCTGCCTGGGGTTCAGAGTGTGCTCCCTAACAGAAGACACTGTCGAATTGGCAGGCTGAGGTGGAGGAACTGGAGTGCCAAGGGAAGCTTCAGGCGCAGCCTGGCCAGGATTGTCAAGAGTTCTGTTAGCTGCAGAACCCACTGATCAAATCAAGCCTTAAGTATGCTGGGGCCTGCCTGGCTCTAAGCCTCAGCAAAAAAACAAGGGCAGCCCCTGGCTCCAGACCCAGCCCCCTGGCACACGGCCCCCTAAGGGAGCTCGAGCCTCTTCCTCCAGACACAGTTGCCTTGCCGCCACTCAGTATTTTTATTTTTTTTAAGATTTATGTATTTATACATACAGAAGTGGGGTGCAGGCCAGAGGTGCAGGGGCGGTGAGAGGATTCACCAGAGACAGAGCAGGGAGCAGAACAGGCAGATGAAGGAAGTCCACTGCTGAGGGGAGCAGCGGGCGGGTCAGGAGAGGTCTGCCGCGCCATGTGGGTCAGCTCCAGGGCTGGGGGTCGAGCTTCTTAGTGCTGTGCTTTAACCCGCTGCACCTCTGCCACTCAGTTTTGCTAGGGGACTCAGCTCCGAGGCCTGGACTTCCACCTTGACCTCAGGCCGTGAGCCAGCACACTGGGCGGACAGTGAAGGGGGCTGTGTCCTCTCAAGGTCTGAAGGACAGGAACCGCCTGGCCTTCCCATTGCTCTTGGCTGTCAAAGCCGGAAAGCCACACTCCCTTCCCCAGGGGGTTTGTGCCTCCTCTCCCTCGACACCTCACTCCTAAAAGCTCTCCACTCTGCCTCTCCTCCCTGAAATATCCCTCTTAGGGTCACAAACACTTCCCGTCGAGGCCAGGCCCAGCTTTGCCAGCCCAGCGGTTTCTGTCCCAACAAGTCAACTCTGTATCTAGAAAACAGCAATAAGAGAAGGATGGGGGTGCGGCACTCACAGCTGTTTGTGGAGTGTGCTGCCGCACCCCCGCTTCGCTTCTGGCCACGCCTTTACTTCACGGCTCTCCCCTGCGGGCTCTGCTTTCCTGAGCTCTCTCAAGCAGTGGCCACATTTGTTATCTTCTTCACACCCTGCCCTTCCTGCTCCCTAAAACCTCCAGGTTTGGATGGTGGCTCCCGGCCCCTCTCCCCTACTCGTGAGCCCCCCTCCAGACTTTGACTCATTTCATGTCCACTGAAGTCACGAGCGCCTGACGCACACCCAGTTTCTCCAAACTCAGCTCCCGCCACCACCTGCCAAAGGCAGGTTCCTTGACATCTTCCCCAACGACCCGGACCCCATCCTGTCTCAGATGCCCGCTCCCACCGGCACAGGCGACAGCCCTGCCCCAACTCTGCCTTCCCCATCGCCTCAAGCCAAACCGGGCTCTCTAAGCGCCTTCGCCGTCTTTCCACCCCTGCCTGCGGCACCTTCGCTCACCCCGCCCGCCAGCCCCTGTTCCTCCTCCCGCCCCTGTTCCTCCTCCCGCCCCTGTTCCTCCTCACGCCCCTGTTCCTCCTCACGCCACGCCCACCCTGTCTCAGCAGCTTAGATGCCACGTTCTGTCCTCAGTCCTTTGCCTGTTTTTTTTTTTACTAAAGCATCTTTTTATATATTTTTTTTAATTTTACAAAAGTTTATTTTTACATCATTTTGTACATTTTTTTTCCCATCTCAATTGTAATCCCCACGGGTTTCCCATCACCAAGTCACCCTTGTGCCATCACCATAATCCTGTGCATTTCCCTTCCCCCAACCCCCCGTTTTTGATCCCATTCCCCACTCCACCCCCGCAAAATGGCTCTGGTATGTGGTTGTTCATTATTCTTGTTATTTTCTCGCCTGGTCCATTACCCTTGCCTGTTTTTATACACAACTTCCTGTGCCTCTCAGTTCCCTCGCTCCCTTAGAAAGGCATGGCCCTAGGGCCTCCCTGGTGGCACAGCAGGTTAAAGCGTAGCACTATGACGCTGTCTGCAGCCCCTGCAGCGCGAGTTCCATCCCAGGCCAGGGAGCTGACCCACATGGCGCGGCAGACCTCTCCGGTCTCCCCGCTGCTCCCTTCAGCCATGCGTTTCAGTAGATCCGCCTGTTCTGCTCCCCTCTCTGTCTCCCCACTCTCACCACCCCCGCACCTGGCCTGCACCCCAGTTCTGTATGCATAAATAAATAAATCTTTCAAAAAGAAAGAAAGCAAAGCACAGCCCTAATCAAGCCCACGGGGGCTTGATTAGCTCAGGCCCACTCTCCGGGGCTTCTCCCACATCAGAGTGATTCTTGTAAACCCTTGCTCAGATCACATTACTCTCTGACTCAACATCCCCCAGTGGCTTCCAGCTCAGACAGAAAACCAAGCACGGGCGGGGTCCCTGCTGCCGCACCCCTCCCCTTGTCTGCTCCACTCTACGACTCCCATGGCCCTTGAGCGAGTCAGCCCACCCCAGAGGACCTCACCTGGCCCCCACACCCCGCTTCCCTGCTGCACCTGCTCTAGCCTGTGCTCTGTATTTACTGGTTATTTGTTTTATTGTGTGGCGCCCCATTAAAACTTAAGCTCCAAGGGGGGGGGCCTTGCTGGTACTGCGGTAGCCCCTGCATCTGTAGCGGTGCTCGTCACACGGTCTGAACATACAAACAAGGGCAGAGTGGAAATTTCCACGCCCCACTCAGCAGCCTTGATGGGATTTCGCTCCCACTTGAGACTTACCCATTTCGCCACTCCATCATTCATTCACCTGTCAAGAGAAGTCTCTCGAGCATCTGTGTGTGCCAGCAAAAAGTTGTCCAGGCTCAACTCAGAGACGGGTGGGTGTTAGGAGGAAGTGGACCAGGAAAAGCGAGCATGTGGTCCTGGCCTCCTGGGAGCGGGAGTGGGGCCACCTGGAGGGACGAGGGCTCTGCCAAGGGACGGGGACTTGACCTGCCCTGCACCGCTGCCCAGGCTGCCGCCCACAGGCTCCGTGTGTGCTCACAGCTCACAGTCTGCTCAAGCCTCTCTGGGGGGCTGGTTACCCCCATGGGACCACGATTCCCACTCTGAGGGGGACCCCCAGCTCCCACCCTCCGCACACAGACCCTCCCCTCGCTCCTGGATGGAGACCCCATAAGTCCTGCTCTCCCAGGCCTCGGACAACCTAGCGCTCCGGCCGGTCAGTGAGAACCGGTCCTGACAGTTCTTTCTCCCCTTCCGCTTCTAGGCTATTTAGTGCAATTTTAGAACAAGCGACCAAAGCCGATGGCGCCAACGCTCTGGGAGGGAAAGGGGCTGGATTCGACGTGAAGGCGCTGCGGGCTTTCCGGGTGCTGCGCCCCCTGCGGCTGGTGTCCGGAGTCCCCAGTAAGTAACCCGCTGTTCTTGCTTCCCATGTTACCTCGTCACACCCTCGGTTTCCCTTTGCCGGTTTGCCGAGAACACTGCGCAGAAGAGCCTGTTTTGGTGTTTTGGTGTTTTGTTTTGTTTTGTTTCCCCTCGAATGAGTTCCTTTGCTTTAACCAACCCGACACTAATGCGAGTCCATTAAAACACCCTGGCCTTGGTTCCTATAAACACCTGGAAAAGATCCACCGCGTCTCACAGCCAAATGAAGATCATCTCTACAGAAAAAACAATCCTGGGCCTCTTGAGCAATCCCCCAAAACCCCTGGGCTGGGAATTTAAATACATTTGCAGCTTAGGACTAGGTGAGCAGACTGATCCCCACGGCTCCCAGGGGATTTTAGCCAATTGGATTATCTCTTCTTTCTGTATTTTTCCAAAGAACAATCAGAAGGCATCAAGGGATATCCTGAAAGTTCTGTTTGCTCCTTTTCCCCAACCTTCTCCTCCTTTCATGTCAAGTAGGGCATCTCTGCTGGGCGCCTTCCTTATAGACACACCGCCTGGTCGCTGGGGACGGGGTCTGTCCAGAGGATGGAGGTCCCAGCATCAGCAAGAGGGAAGGTGTTGGGGAGCTGTGTCCAGCAGGATTAACAGCTGCCCGCTCCCTGCACCTCCAGGCCTGTCCCTGGAGGCTCCCTGGGCACGAAACGAGCAGCTGGGCATCCCACACCAGTCCCAGCAAAGCCCAGCCCAGGTTGCTAGGACAGTTTTCAGAGAACTCTTCTTTCTACGCCTCCTTGTTTGACTTGTGCTAGCGCAGCATCATTCTGAACCTGTGTGCTGAGATGTTTCTTCTCACGTCTGCGCCATCAGAAATGGATTGTGAGTCAAGGCATAGGGGATCCTTATGAACCACTGGGCTGAGATGAGGGGGGTTGGAGTTGGGAGCCAGGCAGGAAGAGAAGGGCTCTCTGCACACCCGGCTTTCACTCGCTCTATCTCTTGGTGACATTTCTGCTGCTTGCTGATACTCTTCGAGTCATAAAACCACAGACATGTGAGGGTCCTTATATTTACCTATTAAGTCCTTTTTATGCATGCGCAGAATAGTGACAAGGCCTCCCCGAAGCAACTTGATTAACTCGCAGCAGAGCAGGACTGGAGTGGGACTCCTGACCTTCAAGCCCACTCTCCCCTGCCAGACTCTGTGACCTCTTGTGCAGAAGTCAATGGTGTGTAATGTCTTCGAACTCTACACCTGTATCCATCTCTTCACTTCTATATCAGCTCTTTGGAGTCCAGAACTGGGCCTTCCCTTCCCCAGGACCACTACACAGCACCTAGAATGTTCTCTACACAAAGTAGGGCAATTTACTGGGTGAATAAGGTGTTTGAGGTGGGGCTGTCATGGACAGAATTAATGTTCTAGACACAATTGTGTCCTTCTACTATGTCAGTTTATTTGTGGTTTCTCAAGCTAGCAAGTGGGTGATGACCCTTGACCAGTGAAAGGTTGGCCCTCCTGATGATCAGAGTGAGTCAGAAGCACACACATCCATACAGCAAGCAACCTATGGTTAACATCCATAGCCTGAGTGCCTCTTTAGGCCTAACTTTCTCAGACACGGTCAATTGTGCACTTTTCAAGACTCCCCAACTCACCGCATGAGGCTGGACATGATCTCCCCCCTTCACCTCACACCTCATTGCTTCCACACGTCCTTTTTCTGCCTCCTCACTATGTCACCAATGTTCCGACCCGACTGCCACTACAGAGCCTTTCCCCTGCTCTTTCCATCTGGAATGCCACTCAGCTACCGCTGGAACTGGCCTGCTTGCCACCTTCAGGCTCTGCAGAAATGGCATCTCCTGGAGAGGCATCACCCTGCATCACCCTCATCACCCTGCATCACCCTCACACTGCCTGAGCCCCTTTCCTGCGGCAGGTTCCCATATGGCTTTAACACTGTCTTACGTGTTGACTTGCCCCAGCTCGTGAGACTGTAATATCCATGAAGACAACAACGTTGTTTTGCCCACTCCCCCGTCCTCGGCATCTGTGTAGAGCAACCTTTGGAAACGAACCACTCCCTTACAACAGGGGCTAGAAAGAGGAGCTACTAAAACTTGGCCAGCTCCCTAAAATAATGCTACAGCCGACAGGACTCGGCTTTCGTTAGCATTTTCAAAGTGTTTTTATTTCTATCTCATTTGATCTTCATGACATCTGTGTGACATATAGACATACTCAGTGGCGATATGAAGATATTTAAGGTGTTATTTCCTATAACAAATAGATTGGATGGGTGTGTAGGGTATGTAATTCTAAGCCAGTAAGTTATTTTTTTTTAGTCCATATGTATAGCCATTGAAATCTTAGGATGGCAGATATGAAGGAGGAGAGATGATTGTGGGAGTACAAGTCCATGAGTCATTTATTAATTTGTTCAACAAAACATACTGTATGATTTCCTCCATTGTAGCAGATACAGCAGTGAGTCAGCCGCTCAGTGTGTTTGCGGAGAGTCTGACGCATGGAGGAAAAAATGTTCATAGAAACAACGGTATAGCACAAAAACTGAAGAACACCCAAAAAACACACACACACACACAGAACACAAAGTTAAATCCAATGAGTTCTGTGACAAGGATGTTTTTAGGAGTGGGAATAAAGTCAGGAAAGGCTCCCTGGAGGAGGTGGCATTTGGGATGAGCGTGAAAGGTAAGCAAGGAGCCCCATTCCAGGAAACGAAAGGGAAGGAGAATGAGAACAGCCTGGAGCGTAAACACCAAGGCCCTGGTGTTAGGAGTTGATTTCACTATGGACGTAAAAGCAGGTGACTCTGCCCATGAAATTCCGTGCAGGTGGGAGATCAGTCCCCTTTGTTTCACGGAGAGCCTTCCACACTAAAGGAAATCAGTTCCCCACGCTTGGGAGGCTCCACCCCCCACCAGCCCTGCTGCAGCGCCTGCATATTGTACCCGAGGAGAAGCCATATGGAACAATAAACACTCTACGGTGACTGTGAACAATAAAGCGGAGGGTTGTGGTTAAATATTTGCAGTGTGTGTGTGAAAGGGGCGCTTTTATTTGTGGAGTGGTAAGTGAGGGGTCACTTCCTCCTTTCCGTGTAACCCCAGATGCCCTCCTGTAGAACTTTCAGGAATGGACCAAATAATGGTGTGAGAATGTGATTGTGGACTTACGAGGTTTTCCTAATAACTTGAAGTGGCCACCCTTGATCTGGTTGTGAGGGGATGGAGGGGTGAACTCCATGCAAGAGCAGCGTCAGCCTTTGGGACACCCTTGGGTCACCAGGAGCGTTTAACTAGACTTTCTGGGCCCGAGCCTGAAGCGAGGGCCCGAGAACAATGATTAAACAGGTTCCTACCCTGCTTGTCAAGGCACTTGAGTACGTTACAGACTTTTCATAGAACATGTTTTTCCTCTGATATGAATTTTTACAAGATTAGGTCTTTCTCAGTAGAAAGTGTGATTTCTGGAAGTATCCAGACTAGAAATTAGGGGGGCTGCTTCCTAATTGAGAAGTGAGAGGGAACAATGAGGCCCAAGAGTAATAAGGGTTCAGGCTCTTTCTTCCTTGTTGCCTCTGGTTAGATAGACACTGTGGTCTAGAGACAAACCAGCACCTAGCCGCTGACAAGTTCCTGCTGTGGAGCTTTTAATGGAGAAGGCAGCTGGGGGCTTAAGAGGCTGTGGTGGTGAGCCGCTGTCGAACCTCTGCCGCTGACCTGCTGCGTCCTCAGGAAAGCTACCGAACCCCTCTTCACCTTAGTGTCCTCATCTGGACAGTAGGAATAATAATGGCACCTATGTCGTGTGCTATAGAACAACTAAATAAGTGAAACAAGTGTTGAGCTAAGCGATATTGCTTTGTATCACACTGGGCCTGTAAAATTGACACCAGTGCATGTTAAGATCACTATGAAGACAAAGCAATGTGACGTCATTGTCATCTTTATAATTTAATATACTTTGTCTCTGTCATTTCAAAGGTAAGGAATATCCAAGGAGTAAATAGTAACCGAAGGCCAGTAACTCCCAGAGAAGCGTGTTCCGATTATTTGACTCCCACAGTATATGCAGTGAAGTGAATTCAAAGGACAAGTTTCCCGGAACTGTGGGGTCCAGGAAAAATGTGAATCAAGGAGACAGTATTTGAGATGAACCCTGAGGTTCACCTAGCAGAAGTGGGACAGAGAGGGAAGAACTTCAAGGGTGAAAACCTCATTTGTTTTGTCCCCACTGGGGAGCAGCCCAGACCAGCACACAGGTGTGTGCACAGACCAACCTGTGACACAGGAGGAAGCAGTGAGAACTGGCAGGAAAGTCACTGAGGAGCTGACGGCGGCCCGTCTCGGAGGCCAAGGGTCAGGCTAACTTCTAACCAGCCGTGGCTGGTCCCCTCTCCAGTAGAAACACATCAAGGCTGCACTGTCCTACGGTCTCCTGCAGGTACTAGAGGGAGGGTGGGTCTTGCGTTCAAGGGAGATTCATTGCCCACACTGACAGCTCGCAGGTGGCAGAGCTGGGGTCAGGACCAGAGCTAAGTGGCCCAGGCCACCATCACCCCCACTGCACCCCTCCCTCCCAGAGGCCCAATCTGGGGCTGCCACTCTCTCCTGAGCACTAACCCCCGATCGCACACTGCAGCTCTTTCCACTGTTACTAAGAGAGTGGACCTTAGACTTAAGTCCTCCCTGGTGGCATAGTGGGTTAAAGCACAACACTACGAAGCTATGTGAAGCCACTGCAGCACGAGTTCCATCCCCGGCCAGGGAGCCAACCCACATGGCACGCAGACCTCTCCTGACCCGCCTGCTGCTCCCCTCAGCAGGGTACTTTGTCGGTCTGCATGTTCTGCTCCCCACTCTGTCTCTGGTGAATCCTCTCACCGCCCCTGCACCTCTGGCCTGTACCCCAGTTCTGTAGGCATAAATAAATCTTTTTTAAAATAATAAAAAATAAAACTTCCTGCTGCAAAAGTTAAAAACTC